GTCAGGCGTTGGGGAGATGATATTTATAGATGAATGTCTGAGGATAAACCAGAACACTGGCTGACTAGATGAAGCTGGAAGAAGAGGAATATTCCAGCAGGAAAACCATCCAGAGAACAACATCACACAAGAGTTTCTGAAGAACCTTTTGTTGCATTGAGTTCCTGCTGTCAGAGCCTGTATTTTTAACACACTGTTAGTTTTATGTTTTACATGAGAGAAAATAGCTGCTGGTCAAACTTAGAAATGGTGCAGTTACTGTAAGGTGACACAGTGTTGAGTCATTTGACATTTCAGTGATACTGCACAGTCACTGTTGGACATGTAAAACACTCCATTACAGATTACAAGCCACACACATGAAGCTACTGAAATAACATGTCATCAGATGAAAACTTGATTAGAAATGATTGTTCTATAATTATTACAGGTGGCCTTAACTGTTACTCTATAAAACTACAGTCTGTAATTACTAAATGCAGGAATGAGAGTCTGTGGGATGAAGGAGAAGTGTTCAAATCTAGATAAAGTTGCTCTGAAGTCTCCTCGGAGCAGACATGGATTAATGCGCAAACAAACATGGAGCCTCCAGCCGAGGCGCAAACAGCGACAAACGACCGGGACAGAAAGAACCGAACCGACCTTCAGAAGCTGAGCCCGGGAAGACCAGCAGCAGCGCGGCGGAGCAGAATAAAAGCCAGGACGAGCCCATGGTGCCCGTGGTCGTGTCTCTGTTTGTCCGGTTCTGTTTGTCCGGTTCTGTCTGTCCGCCGGAACTCACGTCTCTGAGCGCACAGCGGCCGGGTATTGGTCCGTGTGCAGGCAGCGTGGAGACGGCTTTTATGGCAGCTGGGGGGTTTAAAGGGAAGCGAGGCGGGGTGAGGAAAACAGGGAGGGAGGGAAGTTTTTCTACATGACTCATAGACGGTGCGTGAAAATCCTGGGTGCTGCTAAACGGAACATTTATCCAGAGCTGAGCTTCCTGGGACAAGGTTTAGTCCGAACGTTTCTGGGGGGGAACATGGAGATGAGGGTGTGTGAGCCTCCAACACTTCACACTCCGCAGGGTGGTGAATGTCAGGCATCTGTTTGATCCTTTTCTACATCAACTTATAGTGGAAATGAATTTATTCATGTCTAATAATAATAATAATAATAATAATAATAATAATGCAGTAAGACTCTCAGGTTCTTTGTACACTGTAAAATAAAATTTAAAAAAACTTTAATACTTAAATAAAAAGTGGAATTGACATCTTCAAAAACTGTAAAGAAATAAAATAAAAATAATAACGATAATAACAATACTACTACTACTAATAGTAATAATAATGTGCAGTGAGACTCTCAGGCATTTGTACACTGTAAAAATAAAATAAAATAAAATAAAATAAAAAAATAAAAAATAAAAAATAAAATAAAATCCCACCTGGAAGTAAAGGTGCCAGAAAAATACTTTATTTAAAAAGTGGAATATGAAATGTCCAAAAACTGTAATAAATAAATAAATAAATAAATAAAATAACAAAAATAAAACAATCACAATAATTAAAAACAAGGATCAAAAAACAAGTACAAACTTTTTTAAAAAGTGCATTTTTTTATGACCAAATATTTTAAAAGAATAAATTACTATTTGTAGAAATACAGATTTTTGATATTTACCATTGGCGTGTTTTTTGTTGTTGTTGTTGTTTGTTTGTTTGTTTTTTGATGACCATGATGAACAACACACGCTTCTTTCTCTGATTTCACTAGATATCTTTTATAATTTAACAAAACAGTTCTATTTATCATCTTTTAGTCCTGCATGTACATTGTGTTTCTTTTAAATAACCACAGATATTTGTGAAATAACAATATTTGTCACTGATTTAAATAAAAACAGTGTTTTTGTTGTTTTTGTTTGACTGTCAACATGTAAATATTTTTTTTCTGTGATTTTACTGAATATTTTATGTAATTTAACAATTTGGGGAAAAATCTGTAAAAAAAAAAAAAACATCTGTTTAAAAATTTTTTTTTACATTTTTTCTGTCCTTAATAAACATTGGAACTGTAACCAGTAACTTTCCACAGATATTCCATCTTATTGTGCTTCATTCATCGAGCTTGTAAAAAACTTATCCAAAGATCAAATCTGGCTTTTACCAACAAATAGATGCTTCGATGTTCTTATATCTGCAGATGATTGAGACATGACCTGTCAGACACAGTAAAAGTGAACTGTGTGATTCAGGATGATGCATCCAGAAGTTTGGGGAACTGAAGCGGGATGTTGGGAAAGGAATCATGAGTTATCCTGGCTTTTAGTCAAATTAGGTCAAGAACACAGAGGAACCTTCATTTCCTTTTATGCAACTCACTGATTCTGTTACTCACTGGCTGCTAGGTTTCTGTTCTGCTTTCTGTTTTTGACATCTGTCCATCATTTCTATTTCTTTCAGACTCTGTTTTCCAAATCATGCAAGCTTTGTGCTGAAAATGCAGTTTTTATTTATATATCTCTATATATTTCATAATAAGTAAAATTTAATCCTCCTTGTTTTTTTGTTTTTTTAGATATTATTTTAGTTTGTTTTTCTCATTTTGTGTTTTGTTTTCTCTCTTTAAAAAAAAATGTTTTACTGTAGCATGTCCAGAATAAATGAAATTTTTAAAAAAATAGTTGAAACACTTGCTCACAATACGTTAAAGCACCTCCACCCTTATTACATTATTTAGTTTACTTTGCTGATTTCCTACTTGTGTGCATGTTTTTGTGGATTCATAACTTTTGTCTTTGCTTCTGATGCATGTTGAGGTTGGATCTGTTCTGCAGGTTCTTAATGGAAACCTCATCCGTGCAGTTTGCTTTTGTTGTTGCGTTTTTGCTGCCTTGTTTTATTGGACAATAATTAGGTGCCTGTTAACTTCACAATAAAATCATCAGTTATTTCTTCAGGTTATAGAAAGTTTCCATCCACATCCACACTCTCTGTGATGTGATTTAAAAATATTTCCCATAATAACAGCTTGTTCCAACATAAAAATCATGCAGGTATGGTTGTAATTTTTCATCTGTTCATTGTGAGAGTGATACCAAAGGCCTTAGATTCCCTGTTATCTCAGGTTGAGTTTGAATCCAGGGTTGTCATGACCTCCCGTCGTGACCTTGACACAACTCCTCCCATCCAAACACAACTCCTGGCGCAGTTCCAGGCTGTAGTTAAATGAGTTTAATCTGTTTACTGTCTGTGGAGCTGCTCAGCCTGCGTCCAGCGTTTTCTCATCCTAAACAGTAGATATCAGCTTCAGAGACTTTGTTTGGTGAGTGTTGGCGCTCAGGAAGCTGCACACAAGTGTTGAAATCCCAGTAAGAGCAAAGAATAACAAACAAACCGAAGCAGAGCTGAAATGAAGAACTGCATCTCGTGTGAAAATCATCTCTCAATAATTACATTATTTCTCAGTTTAACAGTATTTTCTTCTTATAAACAATCAAAAACAAAAACTTTATTGAAAATTCAGGCAGCAAAGTAGAAACTCAGTGCAACAAAAGTGAATCCACCTGTGATCACTGAAACTAAACTGAGTCCACCTGTGATTTACAGTCAGTCTAACTGTATGAACATGGTTCAAACATGAGCTGTGAGCAGCAGAACTTTCTCAGGTTTGGACCGATTTTCTCTTCATGTCTGCATCATGACTCCACATGGAAGAGAATTAAACAGAGGAACTGAAAAATCTGACTGTGAGACTTCACAGTGATGGAAAATGATACAGGAAGACCAGTAAGCAACTAAAAATCAGTGGACTCAAAGTTGCAGCACTGATCAGGGCTGCAGTGGTCGTCCATAACAGACGGCAGCTGCCTCAGATTTGGCACAGGGGTCATCAATGGAAATTAGAATTTCTGTGAAGGACACTTCAGAACATCAACCTCTATGGACGCCATTTAAGACTCACAAAACCCTTGCTTGTGTTTGGCACAAAATTGCAAAAGGGAACTTTGCTAAAAAACATGAACGTGTCAGAACATCAACTCCTATGGATGGAAGACAAGAAAAGAACCCTTTTCTTTGTCAACAGCAGAAAACCGAAGCCTTATGAATATTGGTCAAACATTTTTTTAGTCAGATGAGACCAAAATAAATGTGTTGGGCTCAGATGGAGTCCAGACCACCACAGTGGATGCATCGTCCTGACAGTGAAGCACGGAGGTGGCAGCATCATGATATGGAGCTGCATGAGGGCAGAAGGTGTTGATGACATTTGACGAGTTCATTTGCCAAATGAGGTAACTCCATCTTCACAAACCTTCAGAAAACCTACGTTTCCATCGTCTACATGAGACAACATCAATCAAACTTAAGTTATCTCTATTCTTGTCATTTCTACTGAGTCAAATCCACCCAGCTTCAGCTTGATTCATATTATCTCAAGCAAACAACAACAAAAAAAAAATTCTGAAAATCTACAAAAATGGAGTTATCTGCTTTTGCAAATGAACTCTTCATTTATAGATAAAATGTCTGAGAATAAACCAGAATACCGGCTGAATAGATGACTCCCAGTCTGCAGAAGCTGGAAGAAGAGAAATATTCCAGCAGGAGAACCATCCAGAGAACAACATCACACAAGAGTTTCTACAGAAGAACAAAGTGAAAACTATGAATCCAATAAAACACTTTTGGGGTATTTTAAAGTGAATTTCAGTGCAACACAACCCCTTCAGCAGCTGAAAAAATTAGTCTCAAAAATCTCAGGAGAAATGTGATATCATTGATGCTGAGGAGGGATGAGTCTGTCATTAAAAATAAAGGTGGTATATTGAAAAAAATAAAGGTTTGACTCTCAGTAATGAAGCATGCACTATTGTTGCATTGAGTTTCTACTGTGAGGCCTGTGTTTTCAATATTGTAAATCTAAGCTTTTTTTTTTTTTTTTAATTTTCCAGATGAGCAAACACCTACTGTTCAATTTGACATCACTTCTGCTGGACGTGCAGGAATCGTGGGTAAAGTCACATATAACGCGCACGAGCAAGAAAATGGGAAAATGAAATAAGTTGCACCGAGGACGTCGCCTGATTCTAATTACAGGAACTGTTTTCCTGACATCAAACAAACTGAGACATGAAACTAAAAAAAAACCGCTGCATATGAAACATGTTCAGGAAGCAATTTTTAAACCCAAAAACCTGCACACAGGAGGAGGTAAGAAGACAACAAGCTTTAACTCTTAATGGCTTTTTCCAGGCGACTATGAACCACATCCAGTTGACTCAGAACCTTCTAATTTGCTTCCTCTTCACTCGGTTAGCAACAGTTTTTGTGTATGACAACCGGATGACAACTTTGCACGGACCTCTGCCAACGTTGCCCACAATGACTAATTCTTCCTATGCGATAACTGCTGCAGTTCCACGAGTGGTGCTGAGACTGTTTCTGGATGTTCTTCGACGTGCTACAGATGAATCATCACCTCTGTCTGCTATGATTAAATGATCATTTTGTTGACTTAACAGGGATTTTTCTTATCATACCATAACAGGATCTTTCTTACTTGCTTGCACAACTGTTTATATCACACATTTCTTTTTTGTATATTTTAAATAAATAGTCGAATGAGGTAACCACATGTGCTTGGTGTCACATCCTCAGCAGTTTATTCGAAGGTCTTACATGGAATAATCTTCATCAAAACCGCAGCTGCTCCGGGAGCGCTGAGGACTACGTACAGTATTTAATGCTGAAACCTTCTTTACTTGTGGCTTTATTCAAAGAAAACAAAACAAGTTAATCTGGGGAAAAGAAAAAAAGAAAAAAAAAGTAAAAGTTAGCACACAGAGGAGGATATTTCTACCGTTGCTAAAAAAAAAAAAAAAGTAAAAGTTAGCACACAGAGGAGGATATTTCTACCGTTGCTCCACATTTTAACTGAACATCATTCCTACATTTAATGCGACATCTTTCTCAAGAGGAGCTCAAAAGATACAAAAAGTCTGTGAGGGTTTCTTTAAACAAAAGGAAAACATTTTTTGCAGCACTGTAGGATTTATTGGTCAATCTGTGACGTCGGCCTGAGGAGAAACGCTAAAGACGTACAGAAACGAAGAGGCAGCGTGTTGAACTGGGTGTGTTTAGCATAAAGTCGGTACCTGATACATTCAGTTTGTAGTGGACAGTGAACGTACTTCACTGTCAACCAGTGCTGTACATTACTGCTTTTATTGCTTAATATTATTATTTTGCTGTCATGTTTGCTTATAAAGGGGTTTCTTCTGTCTGGAAATGACTTAAACAAAAGACAGTAAGACACTATTAGAGCAGTTAATGATAAATTCTAACTATGTCTATGGTTCACTAAAAATGTAACGTCCAAAGTTATTCACATCCCTTGAAATTTTTGAGAAAATGTTGTTTCTATCCCATTCCAAAAATAGTCTCGATAATTTCTACCATGTTCTAGAGCGTTCTAATGTACTATGAAGTGAGAACAACTGATGCAGTAGTTCTCTATTTGGTTCCAAAGAGCTCTGTGAGCTGCTGTTTGGGTCCATTACTGAGAGAGAGCTGCACGTTGTTGCTGCTCACAAGACGTTTAAAGGCTATAAAGTCATATCAAGTGTTATCAACGTCGGGTGTTCACACTTTGAAGCTTCATGAAGAAGTCCAAGGAGTTCTTCACTGTGGAACATGTCAAAGGGTTGCAGGAGGACAGACGTGAGCCCTGCACTGGAAGAATGGTGGAGGCCAAGAAGAACCCAAGGACCAGCACCAAGAGCATCCTGATGAATGTGAGCAGTTCTGGTAGCAACATGTCAATCAGACACTCCAGCAGACCAACAACAAGGCTGGTCTCCATGGAG